CAGGGGGTTTGCACCAGGCGGTCGCTCCTGCGCTCCAGTTTTGTTGGGCTGGTTCTTCTCGTGTCTGCTAAAACATAAAGTACGGGGTGGGGGGGACGCTGGAAAGATCGGGTTTGTTTAGCGCTGCCCTTGGATGCTGTTTACAATTGTTTTTTTCCAAGCGGGCGAAAGAATCTATTTGCGAGTGTCCAAAAAGGGCCATCAGTTTCCATGTCCGTGAGGACATCTCATTCAGAAAGGGCGGAACAATCTGCCCTTAATTATTTAAAGATGGTGACTTTGGATCAGTTTTGTAAAAGCTCTAATAAACAATTTTTGATTGAAAAAAAATATATCCTGGCACGCCAATGTCTCTTCCCTGCTTTCCATCCACTGTAAGAGACGCTGCTATTCGCTCTCTGTCCTAGAAACAAAAAGTCGCCTGTGTGATAATAAACTCTAGGGTCCTTAGCAATTTAACACAAAGTAGATAGCGTAAGTGTCAACACGTCTTTGTTCTGTCCAGCATTTATTTTCCTGCTTGTTGAACTGTAACTATTAGAAACTGCACGAAGGTGAAATTCTTCTTAAGTAACATTTTCACTTTTTTTTTTAATCAAGCACAATTAAAATGTGGGTGATGCGTTGTTAAAATGTCTGTCATTATTTTTATTATTACTGTTATTGTTGCCATAATTTTTATTGCGACATGGTAACAAATTGTAACAGTGTATTCTTTGGGCTGTTTAAAAATAGTGTAAAATGAACGATTTCGGTTTTGGAAGAAATTACTAGCCCCGTAGCCCAGTCCAGTGTCTGCCTTTTGTTTTTAAAATTTTAGGTTGACAGCTGTACTCTACTTGGGCAGAAATCCACGAAAAAAGCGGTAGTGCTACCTCTTTCCGAAATACCTGAAGGGAAAAGGGGGCGGGGAGGGAGGGCTACTGAAAGAAATTATATCCAAGAAGGAAGGGGGACTAGTGTGAAGGACATATACAAATGCAAAGATTAGAGGTGGGGAAGGAAACACAAAACCCAGCACTTGAATTAAAAAAAAAAAAAAGTCAATGAGAGAACTAAAGGCTGAAGTACAAAGGAAGGGAAATCGCCTTTGCTCCAATTTGCAGACTAGTGATTGTCTGAAGGAGTTCTGCTCCCTGTCACCTAATCTCTTCCCTTGGCGGCTTGTTAACGTTTGGCACAGAGTCTCTGCTCAGGCAACATTATACATTCGATATTCAAAAATCCGCCTTACATATACATCACTTGCTAATTTCGTCAGTGTGTGCACATTTCAGCGACTGATAATAGGACATTGTTATTTAAAGGACAAATAGCTCTGACCCATAAAGAGGCAGGAGCTCGTATTTTTCCCTGCCAATTCCAGTCTGCCTCTTAAAAATAAACGTTGGAATGAAAAAGGAGACGAAATGTTGAATTTCTGCTCAAAATGAAGGAGGAGACAACGGGATAGTAAAGAATGCAATTAAACCACGAAAGTAATGTATAGAATGACAGTTTTTCTTTATGGCAAAGCATTATTTTTCTCTATAGAAATAACTGGATAATACTGTTGAGCTGCAATCCAGAAACCTTTTGTTTTTGCTGTTTGCTCGTTGTTTTTATTTTCTGAACACTCTAGTAGATCACAACTCTGCTTTCTTCATGTTCACAAGCCATTTCGTTGTCAGAATAATGTTTCTTTCAAGTATTTCAGATTTTCTTTCTCAGCCTTGTAGGTTTGTGCATAAGAATTGTTGTTGTGGTCTGCAGAAGTCCCAGCCCTTGGTAGGAAGTCTATCCATGGAAAAGAAAGTCCCATCTCATTTCTATGGGTTATTGAAGTGTATTTCATTAGGTTTGGTTTTTCGTTTCTCATGTGTGCCCGAAATCCTTCTTAGAGATAAATCACTTGTCATTTCTTTTATTTTCTTTTTTTTTTCCTTTTCATTGGAATGTAAATCCTTGTAAGACTGAGCTATTTTTAGTCTTTTTTCCATAGGTGTCCACTTCTGTGGAGAGAACGCTATTAAATAAACATCGGATGTAGGTACATTAACTGGAAGCGAGCCCAGGAAAGGGGCGCATTTTTAATAAACCTGAGATGAACGCTTATCTTGTTAAAGGTACTTCTTCTCGCTGGTCCATGGAAACTGAGGTGGCTTTGCTCAGCACAGAGGGCGTGAAAGTGAGGAAGGAGTCAGTCCTGGTTGTGGCTGAGCAGGTAAAGTCTGAGCCGGAGGGTCTCTGTGCCAGCCCGTTGGACTGGCTGCTATGGCAAGCCAGGCAGGAGCAGGGGTTGCCTCCGGCGCCGCTGAGTCCGTGAGCCGGGGCAGGGTAGAGGGACGGGTGTCTGAACGCGCACAGCAGTTCTGGTCTCGGGTACGGGTGGGACAGGACCCTAAAGGTGTCCAGCGGCCTCAGGGGGCTTCAGAAAGGAGCGGCAGCAGAGGCCGAGGTGGCTCCGATGCCCATGTGGGAGTAGTAAGGAAGGGGCAGGTGGGATGGGAAAGGGTAGGGCAGGTTGCCAGTGGCTGCTGCGTGGCTCATCATGTAGGTATAAAAAGCCGGGTCTGCTGGGTGAGGCCAGGTCATGGCCAGGCGCTGCCGCTTGTCCTTCATCCTGCGGTTCTGGAACCACACCTGGGGAAGAGAGCGGGGAGAGCCGTCACCCCTGCGCGCCGGGCCGCGCACCCTGGGCGGCCGCGGGTCTGCTGGAGAGGGGAGGCCGAGGGCTCTTTCTGGCCGAGCTGAGAGGCCAGAAGGAGAAGCTCTCGTTCCCAGAAAGAGTTGCCATCAAGTACAGACGGCTCGTTTATGTCACTATACATCTACAGAGAGACCCACTGGGGCAGCGTTTTTAGGAACACTTTCTCCCTTTCTTCCTCCTAAGGCTTGTCCTGCTGAGCTCTCTGGGTCCCAGGGCTCCAGGCAAGCCCAGCAGCTCTGCCTCCTTCCCACCTTCTTGCAGGCAGAACTACCTGGCATTATCATGATTACTTAATTTTTTTTTTTTAAGGCAAAGCAAAGTGAGTGGAAATGGGATCCAGAGCTGCTTCCTCTATCCTCCCCCAATTGCTGAGCGAGTTTTGGACTGGACTAAAGGGAGGATTAAAAATAATCTGGTACAGAGAGGCCGGATTAGCGGTGTGGCTGTGGGAGCCTCTCCCGCATTGCTGCTTGCTGCAGGGTGCAGGCAGGGCCAGGAAAGGGGCGGGGGGGGGAAGGGAGGGAGAGGGAGGGCTGTGCTGCCGAAGCGCTTTCCCAAGTTTTGAAAGGAAGTTTGGCCATATAGATTTATATCGTGCTAATTGGAAACATGTCCGAGCTGTGTGTACCTTGATGGTGGTTTCTGGCAGATTTAGAGCAGCCGCCAGTTCAGATCTCCGGGGCCTGGACACGTAG